AGACGACGGCCCCCAACCCCCACCAGAAAACCAAGCCGAGAGTAAACCAAGCTAACAAGAGTAACCTCCTAAGAAGGGACAGGAAAAGGAAGGACCGCCAAAATACCCCATACTGCCGCCAAGAGAAGCACGCAGGTGGGACACCTACCACGAAGCCACCCGACCACCAACCGGAGGCGAGACCGCAAGGCAGAACATAAGCAGCCCCGACAAGGCCCCTTCGAGCCCAGGAAAAGGCGGAGCCGCGGGAAGATCTCGGGCGCGATCACCGAAACCCAGGCGGCACAAAGAGATGGAACGTCTGCCGAACAGAAAAACTCCCCAAAGCATGCAAGCCCGCCAGGAGTTCAGAAACGACGGGCCCCACGCGAGATATCGCAAGACCCCCCAAAAAAACAACCGGCAGGGCAAGCTAGGAAACCAAAGAAGGCGGAATGGTCGCCGCCAGAACAGTACCCGAACCAAGGAGTACGAACAACTGCAATAGACCGAGAGAAGGAAGCACATGACAGGACACAGGCTGACAAATGCCTAAGAACACACGCAGAACACCCCTGCTGCAGAGGAGGCAGGAAGAAAGAGCAGAAGCACAAAAACCCCAGGATAACAACCAGGGGTGGACAATCAGGCAGGGACAGAAAAACCCCCACGCAATCCCCAGGCACAAAACGGCAGCAAAGTGCCACTCCACAACCGGACACAGGAACAAGGACACGCCACCGTGAAACACAGTACCACTGCACACGTGCAGCAGCAGCAACAGGCACCACTGCAACATGTAAATAGCAACTCCCTTCTGCAAAGGCAGAGAACGGAGCAGGCAGACCCCAGACAGGGCCAACGGAGACACGACAAAACCCCGCAGGCCCAGAAACCTGCACCAGGCGACCGACGGCGGAGAAACCCCGCTCGATACCTGCTGGATGAGGTACTGGGAGCTCTTTCACACCTCAAGCCCGGCCCAAGGCCAAGCTAGACCGGCCAGAGGGTGGCCCACCAGGCAGCTGCTAGGAGCAGTCCACCGGCCCACATACCCCCACAACCAGGATGGGCCGGAACTGCCATACGAAAACAGGCTAGTGCGCCCTGGAAGTCCACGGACGAACCAGCAAGAAGGCTTATGCTCGCAAGTAGGTCGTGTAACAAGCACAGACCTCTGATGGTAATACAGTGTTCCCCAAATGTGCCAATAGCACCACTGCACTCCACTGGTACTATCCCGCAAGTTCTACCAGATAGGCGGGACCCAAGAGCCAGAGCTCAAATCCTGCAAGCCCGAGTACTGGAGAATCACTCCCGGCTCACGCACCACCTAGAAAACAGACACCACACTCTAGGTACAGTGCTGAAACAACCACTGGAGCCGGAGCACATAACCGTTGCCTATAGCATCAGCCGAAGAACTGATGGGTGGATAGCCGGCGTGGGAGGTCTGGGGCTCCCCCTTCCCCCTTCCCCCTCCCGGGGTGGGGGGAGCTGCGCAGACAGCGGCGCGGTGACGTATGACGTCATACTAGTTTCCTTGTTTTCTGTTGAAGAGTTCTATCCACTAGTTTGGCTTTAGGTAGCAATTTTCACCAGAATAGGGGTTTGTTTTGGAATGCTTACCTTTCTGGATGCTTGACCCGGTCGATGGCAGACATAGAATGCTTCCAACCACACGGGGGTTTCTATAGGCCATTGCTCCCCTTGCCTCTCTGAGGGGGCCAGGTTCTGGCCGTGGTCTCCGGTAGGCCCTAGAACTCCATACACATGACTGATGCCAAAGTCTGACATTAGCATATCAGCCGGTAAAGCTCCGGGGAGCCGACGGGGCTCCCCCCAAAAAGGGGAAGACAATCTAAGAACCAGGGCCCATGTGGAGTCCAAGAAGGAAGCGAGGACCGCCTGTCAACATGCAAAACGTGCAACGAAAAACCGCAGCAACGCCTTTCGCAGGATCAGCATAAACAGCTTCAAAAGAGCAGATGACGCACAAGCAGCCGAGACTAAGGTGCCAGACCCAGGAACAGCGCCAAGCGCCTCCACATCCTCCGCAAGCCAATCTGAAGACAACTCCAGGAGGGAAAAGAAACGCAGGACCGAAGCCAAAAAGCCACGAGCGCGGAAGTCTTCAGCCACAAGCGCAGCCGACAGGGAAGGAACCTGCACATGAAGCTGAACTGCACCAGCATCCCGCAAAAGGGCAGGAGCAAAAAGGCACTCATTAAGATGCTCAAAATCGCCCCCTAGGTAAACCTGAACCACTGTCAATGCCTCGTGCCACTCAAACGTGCGGGTCCGACAGAACGAGTCCCAAGCATCCAATGAAAACAAGGGGCAGCCTGCAAGCCAGGACGACCTCGGAACCTCATAACGCACCCAGTAAGGATACGATGATCCAAACCTGAATGAAGAAGGATCCATTATGGAGGCATACTTTGGGTCACGCAGGAGGTAAGCCGCAATGGCCGACTGCACCTTGGGCGGCGAGATGTGGGAAGCCGAAAACCTCCAGAAAGACGGAACCGAAGAATCCACAGGGACACGGAACCGAACCCAAGTACAAATCGTACACAGAGGGGGGAAAAGAAAACCTCGCTCCTTGCAACAGTAAGCCCCGCTCAGGAAGGACGGAAAATCCAGGCGGGTGTCCAATGGAGCCCAAGGCCCCAAGTTAGCTCCTCCCCAATCCCGGGAACCTGCACTCCATGTCCTGGGGCTGAGTCGTCCTCCAAAGCCCCAGCCTCACAAGAAAAAGCTGGGGCAGCCGAAAGAGCTGGAAGGGAAGGGGCCCTCTGGTCAAACCCGGAGCATCGGCAGGAGGAACAGACTCAAATACCCCCGCAGCCACCCCGGACGGGACAACCCCCAAAACTGGCCGAGTCTCAGAAACCTCTAAACCCTGCCCCGACCCCGAAGCTCTCAGATGCTTAGGGGCGGGAAGCAGGTAGGGTAGGGGGGACCGAATGAACCACCAAAGGGGAAGAACGAGAGGGCGCGGACAGAACCAAGGCCGAAGCAACCAACACCCCCAAGTCCGAGTCCCTAAAGGCAAAGCGGGGCAGCCTCGGGGCGTCCAGGGAAGCGACAACCCGAGCACGTTACAATAACCTAAACCTACCCGGCAATGCGCGTGCTGCCTGCACCCGAAACAAATCTTGAGGTTATCTTGAGATGATTTCGGGGCTTTAGTGTCCCCACAGCCCGGTCCTCGACCAGGCCTCCACCCCCAGGAAGCAGCCCGTGACAGCTAACACCCAGGTACCTATTTTACTGCTAGGTAACAGGGGCACAGGGTGAAAGAAACTCTGCCCATTGTTTCTTGCCGGCGCCCGGGATCGAACCCAGGACCACAAGATCACAAGTCCAGCGTGCTGTCCGCTCGGCCGACAGGCTCCCTACAAATCATCGTCAGTCTGGGTGAATTGAGTCACGAACAAGCAACACAGCTCGCACGACTCGGGGTCGAATGTGTCACCGACCTAACAGGCAGCATGATGGAGGCAAAAACAATGAGTGTCGCCCTGAGACAAGGGGACAGAGCAACTTTAAAACTCGCACAAAGTGAGAGGGGACGCAAGGGTCTCCTCCATCAGACCCGAGAGCCCCCGCGGGGTTTTCCAAAGCCCCTAGACTGGGTCTGCTAAGGGTTATCCCAGGCAGGGCACTGCTAACCGGCGCCCCAAACTACCAAGCAAACTGCTAAAAGCTGAACCCACGGGACGTGTCTACTCACAAGGGCGAAGCAGGGGATGCCACTACACAAAACGACCCTAATATAAGTAGGGTGGTAGAACACAAGGCAGACCCCCCCACCAGGCAAAAAGAAAAAGAAAAGAAAAACCATGCCAGTGGACAACGTACCCAGTGGGAACATAGCCGGCCGCTGTTATAGGTGAAAACTAGCTACCCAGTACCCCGTGCCCCCACCAGTGCAATAACTACCACTTACCCCAAGGCAAACAAGGAAGGAAAACCTCAAACACTCGGGGCAGCCCAACACCAAGCAGCGAAAGGCCAACAGAGGTAGACCCAAGGTGACTTGTGGAAGGCAACCCCAAGCCCCAAGAGCGGTACTTACAGGGCACTCAGGGAAGGTGACCCTAAGCACATGCAGCCCGAGTACCTGAGAATATTACTCCCAGCTCACACGACCATCATAAGAGCAGCACTGAAAAACAGTGAACAGCACTGAAGAAGACTGGAGCTGGAGCCACATGACCATGCACGATCCCATCAGCCGAGGAACTGAGGTGGGGATTGCCGGCATGAGGGGTCTGGGGCTCTCCGTTCCCCCTCCCGGGGATAGGGGGAGCTGCGCAGACATGTGGCGCGGCTCGTGTGATGTCATGCTTGTTTGCTCGTTTTTCTTTTGGAGAGTTCTGCCCACTCGTTTGACGATTTTCGTTGTTAACAGAATATGGGTTTGGTTTGTGGTGCTTACCTTTCTGGGTGCCTGTCCCGGTCGATGGCAGATATAGAATGCTCCAAATCACATGTGCATTTCTATGGGCCATTGCTCCTCGTGCCTCTGTGAGCGGGGTCAGGTTTTGGCTCGTGGTCCCCAGTAGGCCTAGAACTCCACCCACATCGACTGATGCAAAGTAGTTAGGGTATCTTATCAGCCATGGATAGTCTTGGGGAGCTGTAGGGGCTCCCCCCAGAAAAAAGTCAGCAGCATAAGCAAACTAGCTGCTCAAATTACAGCTTTTCAAAACAAACGATACTCCTCAAGACTTTATAAACAGTATATTATCAGACCAATACAGTCCCCAAGTGTATGTACACTTCTATATAACAACTTTAGCCCCCTAGGCCATAAAAAGTTGAGATATTTTGATAAATGCAAAAAGAAAAACTTTTTATCAAGGAAACAAGGTGCCATGTGAGGGAGAAAACAAAAGGAGTGTATAAGAAGAATTAACTATGAACTGTCTTTAGGAAAAATGAAGATTATGTGATTTGATTCAGTAAGAGGGGAAAAGGTGAAAAAATGACAGGTGAATGCACATTCTTACCTAAAATTTCCCGATATGATGTTAGACTGTCGATCCAGAACTGTTCCAAAAGGATGCTTCCCTTTAGTTAGCATATAGTAGTACACACAGCCAAGTGAAAATATATCAATTTTGCATGTCTGAAAACACAAATATTGTGAAAAGATTTTAAAAGATATATAAATAATCATATTTTCTTAGGTACAGAAGGTATATAAATAAATTACACAGAACATTCTTGCAATCCAATACACATACCGGTCTAGATGTATTCAGCATCATTTCAGGGGCAATCCAGCCTTCTGTTCCAGTGACACCCGATCGCCGTGAGAATGACATCCGTCCACTTTCCAGTCTTTTACAGAGACCAAAATCAGATATCATAGCTCGAACTTGGCCTCGAGAGTTTGGTAGAGATAGTAGTACATTGTGAGGCTTTATGTCTCGGTGCACTGTAATGAAGAGAGATGCGTGAGATTTCCATTGTGAGGAGTGAGGAGCATCTCATTATGAGTGTGTGAGAGGCACGCCACTGTGAGAGGGTGAGGGACACCCCATTGTGAGGGGTGAGGAGCATCTCATTATGAGTGTGTGAGAGGCACGCCACTGTGAGAGGGTGAGGGCACCCCCATTGTGAGGGGTGAGGAGCATCCCTTTATGAGAGGGTGAGGGCACCCCATTGTGAAAGGTGAGGAGCATCCCATTATGAGAGGGTGAGGGCACCCCCATTGTGAAAGGTGAGGAGCATCCCATTACAGAGGGTGAGGGCACCCCATTGTGAAGGGTGAGGAGCATCCCATTATGAGAGGGTGAGGGCACCCCCATTGTGAAAGGTGAGGAGCATCCCATTACAGAGGGTGAGGGCACCCCATTGTGAAGGGTGAGGAGCATCCCATTACAGAGGGTGAGGGCACCCCATTGTGAAGGGTGAGGAGCATCCCATTACAGAGGGTGAGGGCACCCCATTGTGAAGGGTGAGGAGCATCCCATTATGAAAGGGTGAGGGCACCCCCATTGTGAGGGGTGAGGAGCATCCCATTACAGAGGGTGAGGGCACCCCATTGTGAAGGGTGAGGAGCATCCCATTACAGAGGGTGAGGGCACCCCATTGTGAAGGGTGAGGAGCATCCCATTATGAGAGGGTGAGGGCACCCCATTGTGAGGGGTGAGGAGCATCCCATTACAGAGGGTGAGGGCACCCCATTGTGAAGGGTGAGGAGCATCCCATTATGAGAGGGTGAGGGCACCCCATTGTGAGGGGTGAGGAGCATCCCATTATGAGAGGGTGAGGGCACCCCATTGTGAGGGGTGAGGAGCATCCCATTATGAGAGGGTGAGGGCACCCCATTGTGAGGGGTGAGGAGCATCCCATTATGAGAGGGTGAGGGCACCCCATTGTGAGGGGTGAGGAGCATCCCATTATGAGAGGGTGAGGGCACCCCATTGTGAGGGGTGAGGAGCATCCCATTATGAGAGGGTGAGGGCACCCCATTGTGAGGGGTGAGGAGCATCCCATTATGAGAGGGTGAGGGCACCCCATTGTGAGGGGTGAGGAGCATCCCATTATGAGAGGGTGAGGGCACCCCCATTGTGAGGGGTGAGGAGCATCCCATTATGAGAGGGTGAGGGCACCCCATTGTGAGGGGTGAGGAGCATCCCATTATGAGAGGGTGAGGGCACCCCCATTGTGAGGGGTGAGGAGCATCCCATTATGAGAGGGTGAGGGCACCCCATTGTGAGGGGTGAGGAGCATCCCTTTATGAGAGGGTGAGGGCACCCCATTGTGAGGGGTGAGGAGTATCCCATTACAGAGGGTGAGGGGAATCCCATTGTGAGGGGTGAGGAGCATCCCATTATGAGAGGGTGAGGGCACCCCCATTGTGAGGGGTGAGGAGCATCCCATTACAGAGGGTGAGGGCACCCCATTGTGAAGGGTGAGGAGCATCCCATTATGAGAGGGTGAGGGCACCCCATTGTGAGGGGTGAGGAGCATCCCATTATGAGAGGGTGAGGGCACCCCATTGTGAGGGGTGAGGAGTATCCCTTTATGAGAGGTGAGGGGAACCTCAATCTCAGAAGTGATGGTACTAAACACTGATAAGAATAAAACTGGAATTTCTTAACACATCATATTCATATTCAACTGATCTGTACTGTAGCTTTATTTTATATCAGATTTTTTAAGGTCAGATTCATACCCGAGGTCAAGTGCCAAAGTTTCAGACACAGTATAAGAATTTTTTTTATCACTAACCTATATATAATTTTTTTTAAGGAAGGTACAGGGAATGCTTTATATGCAATATAAAAAGAAATGATTTTATTAGGCAATATTTTTTAAATTATATAATAAAAACCCCACTTGGGGGTAACACAAAATTATTTAAACATTTACCAATATCAAGGGTGTGAAGATGTTGCAAACCAGAAGTAGCTTGTTGCAGGACACTAAGAATGCTTATATTTGCCTTAAACCTGTCCTGAATGAAGTCCTCCAGGGTGGCACTGCATAGTTCCAACGCAATATAACGAAACTGTCGACACTGTTACACAAGAAATATAATTTATGAGGAACTTTGAAATGCATTAAATATAATATTTCAAAACTTGTCATATATATGCTGTACTGAAGAAACATTAATTGAAATTGTACTAGATAACCCAAAATATACATGAAGAATTTACCTGTTCAGTGCAAAAATATCTAATAACGTGTGGATGCTGATCACTTTCCCGAAGGAGATCCACTTCACGGTCAGCGATGGAGAAACAATCTGGAAGCACTCGCTTGACTGCCACACTACGACCATCAAATGTGCCTCTGAAGTACATTGTTTGGAAAATCATATGAAAATTCTTAATTTAGTACTGGTAGCTGTAGCTTATTTTTTATATCAAGTTCAAGTTCAAGTACAGTATATTTATTGAGACAAGAAAGAAATACATCTCAAAGGGATAGAGTAGCTTAGGCTATTTCTACCCCCCCCCCTTTTTTTATATATATATATATATATATATATATATATATATATATATATATATATTATATATATATATATATATATATATATATATATATATATATATATATATATAGCCAGAAATATTCTCAGCCTATATATTTGCCTAATATATATATATATACCTAACCTATATATATATATATATATATTTTTATATATATACCTATAACCTATATATATTAGGTTAGGTTAGGTAGGGTTGGTTAGGTTCGGTATATATCTATATAATTTAAACTCAAATAAAAAAAATATACATAATATATATATTTATAGAAAAAAATTATATATTAATAATAGGAAAACTTGGTATATATATATATATATATATATATATATATATATATATATATATATATATATATATATATATATATATATATATATATATATATATATATATATATATACTGTATATTATTTGCATGCATGCTTAGCCAATGTGTATATGCTGAGGTGTCTACATATGTGCCTGAGTGTTCAGCAGTTGGCTTGCTTCTCCAGCAAGTGCTCTTTCAAAACTTTTCAATCGATTGATAAAGCCGATTTCGTTTTGGAAGTTACACAACAAACGCAAATCATAACAGCCAGACACCATCTATGATCTAAACATATTTAATAGGCATACTTTGTGTAACATTAAATCACTGATAATAATACGAGACAAAGGGGGGGGGCAAATTATCTTACAAGCATCCATCTTTTCTGAAGTACCTTCTCCCACTACTGTGATGTATTTAAATAAATTGAAATTTAGCTTTTGTTTATATCACCCTTCATCCAATTTGGAATACAGCCCATTATGAACACACACATTGTAAACAAATTCCTTTGTTTACAATAAATTTGTAAACAATGTCATTAGTTGTGATACTGTAGAAATGTGATATTGCCTCTCACCTGCTGAACCTACAGTTTTGTACTTATTATGCTAAAACTATTTAATTAAAATATAAAAAAATCACTGTAAACCACTGAAATATTGCTATGGATGTTTTACTACAGCAGTTATGTGGTACCATGTGTGCAACATTACATGAAATTGTCAGTGAACACCTTCTCCTATAATACTTTTTATCCTTACTTGGCACGAGACTGTCCACACAAAGTAGTAAAAATTATGAAAATTAACAATAATAATGCAATGTAGCATTGGTTTTAATGGAGAGGGGCCACAACAAAACACTCAATTTAGGGAAGTTTCCACTGTATATTAATATATTTTGAATGCAGGAACAACATTACCTTTACCCCTTACCTGAACACAAATGTGCCATCGCAGCCTTTGCCAAGTAACTGCTGTGGATCAAATATTATTTTGCCCACACTAACAGTTCCATTGTCCAGCTCCTCTGCCACAGCTGTGATGTTACCTGATGAGCCTCCAGAGTTGTTGGATCCCTGCGACCAGGGGCGTCGAGAAGACATCTCTTGTGTAAGCCTGGCATAATCTTGAGCCTGTATACAACACACACCATAGTAATAGTCTAGAGTAATCAACAAATGTTAAGTTAACAAATTAATCCCTAAGCAGCTCTAATTGCTATCCATGATTACGTGAATAACCAAATTAAATTTTTTTTACATTGATTTTTTAAATCTTTTTTGCTAACATTTGCACCACGATGTAGAATCTAATGAGCTGAGCCATTTAAGGGTAAAATGTTAAACATTATCGTAAATAAAATCATAGCACACTTTAGTTTTACAATTAAGATAAATAATTTTTTGAGAATACTTGGGACTTAGAAACAAAGAAAAGATTCTGTATATCTCTGCTTTAGGATTGAAAGATAAAAAACAGGTAAAGCTTATAATAAACCTTAAAATTTAAGATAGCTTTTACACAAAAGGCATCATAATTTCATTGTTATATAAAGTAACAAACTTCTGAACTAGATAAAATGTTTAAGACTAAGCTTACTGTACACTACAATGAATATTTATAATTTTTTTAATTCCATAAGATTGAAAAAATCCTTCTTAATTGTCAGTCAGTATACAAGATCTAGAATATATCACATAAAAAAAACCAGCATTGAATGTAATGAAACACCATTTTCTGGGTAAGCCCCGGAGGCTTCCTGGAGCTTATCGCGCTAATGTATGTTATATTAGACCGGGACATTAGCTAAGGAGTTCAGACCTACCAGGGACCAGTGCCAGAACCTGGCCCCTTCAGAGAGGTTTCAGGGAGCAATGGCCCTGGAAAACCCCCTTATGGTTGGGGTTTTCCTTATCTGCCATCGACCGGGGTTAGGCACCCAGAAAGGTAGGCATAACAAAACAAACCCCACATGGTAAAAACTAAAACAGAGAACCGAACAGAGGTAGAAACTCCCTACAATCGCAAGGAAACAAGCAAACATCACACTTTACTGCCTCGCCGATCGTCCGCGCAGCCTTCCCCGCCCCGCGAGGGGGAGGGGGGAGCCCCGGACCTTACCGCACTGGCTGCCTAGCATCAGTTCGGAAACTAAGCTTCAACCAACGCAAAAAAAACGCCAACCGGTGGGAGGGAGGGTTGCCAGGGAGCCTCCAGGGCTCACCCAGAAAATGGCATTTCATTACATTCAATGCTGGTTTTCTGTGGGGAGCCCCTATGGCTCCCTGGAGCTTTATACCCAAAGAGAAGGAAAAGAAAGGGCTGACCCGGGAGGCGGCCGCCACAAACTCCACAACGCGAAGCCAAGACAACAGGTTGCAACTTGTGACCCAAGGCAACACAAGAACGCACAGGAGCAGATACGCGCACAAAGAACGGGCGGTCACGAACCTGTGCGACCCTCAAATCCTAATGCCTGAAATGAGCCCTAGATGTCACCAACACAGCAGCAAAAGCTGCAAATGTCCGAACAGCATGGGCGCAAGGATAGACCGCAGGCTGGAAGACTAAAAAACTCTGCGGACGACCTGAGAGACCCAAGCCTTGAAAAAGGGAATGAGGGGAACCGGATCAACGCAAAGCGCATCACCAAACACGGTAGACATCCCCAGACAAAAAGGCGCAACTGGACAACACAGGACACACCCCCGGCCGAACCAATCAAGGATCAATAACCCAAGGACCCCTCCGGAAAGCAGCCATCTCAACCGTCGGCAGAAGGACGGAGAAAGGCTGCAAACGTACAAACCTACCACCAGAACCAAAGAGCAGAAACCTCTGCATCGGAAGAGCCGGAAGCTCCCCAACCCGACCCGCAGAGGCCCATGCCAACAAAATATGGCCTATGAAAACCAAACTTGAGCCGAAGGGCTACGACAAACTGAGGAGAAGATGATAAGAGGGTACCCTGAGGGTACCAGGATGGCTCAGGCGACACATGAGCAGGCCGGAGGTGAAACAAAACACGAGAAAGCGTAGGAACGGGGCAGATGTGACGTCCACCCCGAACGCAAGCCGGAGTGGCTCTGCCAGCGCCGCACAAAATGAGGTGACAGTAAGAAACGTCAAATAACTGTAGTCCTGAAAACCCAAGAAAGGACAAAACAACCCTCAAAGAGCAAGAAAAAAGGTGCATAGAAACACCAGGAACATCATACTGTCGCCGAGACAAAGCTCGCAGGTGGAACACCATCAACGAAGCCACCTGATCACCATAGAGATGGTGATACCTGTGTCAAAACACCAGACGCGAAGAGCCGAGGAGAAGGCCGAACCAGTCACGTACAGGACCGGTCCGACCTGCCGAAAGAGGCGGAGCCGTGGGAAAACGCCCCGGGTTCGGACACCTATCAAGCAGCATCTGAAAATAAAGCTGAGCTGGCCACCAAGGGACCATGAGGACTACTCTCCTTGGGAATGGACTCCAAACGAGCCAGAACCCGAAGCAACAGCTGGACCGGGAGAAGAGGAACAGGTACCCCCCACCTCGACCAGTCCTGCCGAAAGGCATCCACCGTGAACGTCTCACAGGCGGGTAAGGGTGCCACATAGGATGGGCGACGCCTAGACCACGCCGACGCGAAGATGTCCATGGCCAGGAGTCTATACGTCCGGCAGAGCCAACGAAATGAATCGGCGACGACTGGCTAATCCGCGAACAGAGGAATGAACCGAGACAGGTTGTCCCCCAGGCCGTAGGACACACCCCGGACATGAACCTCACGGTTAGTCAAACGAGCCACTCGAAGGGACCAACCCCAAAGGTCAAACACCTAAGAGAAACCCTGTGGTTCCGGCAAAGAACCACCAGAGAACAGTCTGAATGGAGATGGATGGTAGAGCACCGAGTGACCTGAGCCCTCCGAAGCGCAAACCAGACAGCCACGAACTCCCGAACCGTGTTGTGAGCCCGACAGACGGACAGGCCCCACCATCCCCGGCCGACCTGGTGAACACTGGTCACAAAGCCCCAGCCGAGAGATGACCCGTCCATGAACACATCGAGCGAAGGCTTGGGGAGGTGCCAAGGCACAGAACCCCAAAAACCCCAAAGAGGAAGCTGATGACACAGCACCAACACAAGATCCCTGGAGGATGAACCCAACGATTGCAAGAGAGGCGGAAGGGAACTCTCTGAAGGAACCAAACAGACGCTGAAGCCAAACCCGATCCTGCAGGCAGACCAGCACGTCGAAGTTCAGACTCCCGCACAACCGCTCCAGCAACCGCCGAGCAACCCGGGACGCAGCCCAAGAGCCCTAAACAAAACCCAGCCAGGTCCGAACCTGGGACAGAAACAGATGGAATGGCCTCCAGATCTTCAGGAAACCGAACCCGACGATCTGGAAAAAACCACACCCCTGGCGAGCAAACAAGCGGACCGACTGGGAGCCCACACCAGCCAGTCGTCGAGGTAGGCCAGACACCGAATCCCAAACAGACTCAGACAGGGCACCAAGATCTGGTAAAGATGTGTAAATACACCAAGTGCCCATTACAAACTAGGGAAGGCAACAAAAGCGGCAAGCCTGAAGCCCCACCACCAACTGTGCCAGTCCCGGAAACCTGGAGAAGAACGTGCCAAGAAGTGACCTGGAGGTTCAGGGCCACCATCCAGGGACCCAGCCCCAACAGAAGCCGGACTGGAGACAATAGTCCTCCGATGAGGGTATAGAATCCAGAGGAGAAGAAGAAGCCCACCTCGCCAGCCCCGAACCCCCCATACGGAAAGAAGCCGTCCTCCGCTGCCAGAGGCTGGAAGACAACCAAAAACGCCCACTAACTGTGGGACCATGCGAGAGTCAACAGAGCAAGCTGCTCCCCCACCGCCCCATCAACAGCGAAGGGAACAGAGCCCCTTCTGAAAAGAAAGTATATATATATATATATATAAACACACACACAAGGTGCATGACACACGTGTGTATGCACATGCACATACACACGTGTGCACACATGCACACACAGTGTACACATGTACATGTACACCACACACATACACATGAAAAGAAAATTACAAGCCGATGACCAGTGGGCAGAGAGCACCACGCCGGCCTGGTGAAGAAGGTACAAAACAGCATCAAAAGGCCCACCTTGACAACAAAACCCAAAGCCCTGGCACGACCACAAAACGTGCCAAGACCCAAAAAGAACAGCCTGCAAGCCAGGAAGACCCCGGAACCCCAGAAAGCAGAACTGGGTCACACACGAGGAAACAAAGCCCCCTAATCCCACAAAGGGTGCCAAAGAGGAAGAAACCTCCGAAACGAAACCAAAGAACCCAAAGGAACCTGGAATCGAACCCGGGGGAGCCCAAACCACCACAATTACCGGCGGAGATACACCACAGAAAGGCAAAGCACAGCCCTCAGACAGAACCCCCAGGGAAAAGGCCAAAACAGACCGAAAACTGAGGGACAAGGTGCGGGAGCAAGCATAAACAGACAGGGACACTGAGCCCAAATCCTAGGGCCCAGACCTAAAATAGACAAAACGGAAAACCTGGTGTAAAAATCAACACCCAAACGTTCCCAGAGGAACAGAAGACGAGCAGAAAACACCAGAAAAGCAAAGAAACAACAACAGGAGAATAAAACTCCTGAATGAGGTGAAAAACTCACCCAAGACGCTCGCTCGCACACCCAGACGCATGTAAACAAACTGCAACGCCGCCCTGGTGGCCACGCCGGGAAACCGGCAGAAGAAAATGGCCACCAGAACAGGGGGCTGTGACCGATGCAAAAGATATGAAAACATGCCAGCAAAAGTGGGAAGCAAGCAGACTGGATGGGCGAAAAGCTCCGGCCAGAAGCAGAAAACCCAGGCAGGGGCAAACAGCCCCAGAACTGTAAGCAGGCATCTCCCACAGCCCCGGGAACCTGCAACAGAGGCCCCGGGGCAGAGCCATCCTCTACGCCCTCCGCCCTTAAAGAAAAGGAAGAGTCCATGGGAAAGGCAGTAAGAAAGGGCCGCTGGTAAGACCCAGAAGCCTTGGCAGGAGGAACAGGCTCGAAAACCTCCGTCCCCAACCCGAACGGGGCAGCCCCTGAAACCGCCTGAGTCTCGGCCCCCAACTAAACCCTGCCCCAACCCCAAAACCCGCAGACGGTCCGGAGCCAGGAACAGGGAGGGAAAGGGGCAACAGCATCTAACCAAAACGGGGCGGCCCCGGGGCATCTGAGTGGGAAACACAGATGCCACCTGTACTCTGAACAGTAATAACATTAGGAGAATACTGGAGAACAAGCAGAGAATACATCTCACAAGACTCCGGGTAAAGTGTCAGTGACCCAACAGGCAACATGACGGAGGTAAAAGTAGCGACTGTCACCCGGAGACAAGGGCATAGCAACCAACGAACCCGTACAAGATGGGTTGGAACTCGGAAAACACATTCAATGGCCCATTGAGCCCCGACAGGGTTTTCCAGGGCACGTAGGGTAACAACTACTGGAAGCCCGGGCAAGGTGTTGCTAACCGGTTAAAACCCAAAACTAACAAGGGGATAGAGGACAACACTGAAAACCCCTGCAACGTGTACAATCACAGGGGCCTAGCAGAGGGCCACCAAATACTACCAGTGGAACTATAGCCACACTAGGCAGACCCCTACCAGGCAAAGCAAATAAAAACAAAAGAAAAACCCTGCAAAAGTACACCGTCCCCAGAGGCAACAGGAACCGGTCGCCGCTTAGGTGGCAGACCGCGCAACACCTTGATGCCCTAACCAGCACAATACCAGTCCCTTCCCAGGGCCAAACAAGAGCCCCAAGCCCCAGCTGGCCCCAAGGGCGTGGCAAATGCCGAGCAGCAAGAACCTGTACGGAAATGGTTCCCGAACGCCCCAGGGAAGATAACCCTATCATGCAGGGGCAGTACTCACAGGGCGCTTAGGGAAGGAAGCCTCTAAGTGCATGCAGCCCCAGTACCGATGAGGAACACCTGGCCACCGCACCACACAATACACAGCAGTGAGCGCCACACAAGGCAAACACCGCCTAGGAAACTGAGGCCAGAGAAGCATCTATCCCAGTTGACATTAGCTTACGAACTGATGCTAGGCAGCCGGCGCGGTAAGGTCCGGGGCGGGGAGGGTTGCGCAGACGTTCGGCGCGGCAGTAAAGTGTGATGCTTGCTTGTTTCCTTGGGATTGTAGGGAGTTTCTACCTCTGTTTGGTTTTCTGTATTAGTTTTTACCATGTGGGGTTTGTTTTGTTATGCCTACCTTTCTGGGTGCCTAACCTTGGTCGATGGCAGATAAGGAAAACCCCAACCATAAGGGGGTTTTCCAGGGCCATTGCTCCTTGAAACCTCTCTGAAGGGGCCAGTTTCTTGCACTTGTCCCTGGTAGGTCTGAACTCCTTAGCTAATGTCCCAGTTTAATATAACATACATTAGCGCGATAAGCTCCAGGGAGCTGTAGGGGCTTCCCACAGAAAAGGCTAGCCCTTGATTAGTGTTTTCAAAACTGTCAGCAGATATATCCCTTTGACTCCCAGTTTATGTGTGGATCATTTCTAAACAACTTGTTTGACATAAAAATCACAAAGAGACCCCCTAGAGTCTTGAGTGGATCACATGTACTCTAGCTTGTAGAGCATTCAGGAGGTCTTTTGCACACAATTGCATTACATTAATTTTATTGTGTTCTATTATGTTAATAAAGCTGAATATTTTTTTGCACAGTAATGTACATCATTGCATTTTTCTTTTATGGAATAACATTTTTGATCCTATAATGCATCCTATTTCTCCTGTAAGATTCCTTAACAAAATTTAATATGCAGACTGCATTTTACAAATACTGAGTGGACTACAAAGCAAAAAGTTAACAAAACTGAAAAATAAAATTGACTACTAGCATGTCTCTTTGAACAACATTTTAATACTGTGCAAACTTACTTGCTTGTAAAGAAGACGGACAATTACTCCAAATCCAAAGAGAAGGATAACAATCAGTAGGTTGACAGTATCAGAGATGAGCCACAGCCACACCATGTGACATACTTCTCTCCACCACCTTAATACTTTCCCTGAAGTTACAAAACTTACATTCATCCTTTTCATTTGATCCAACCCATCTGAAATAAAGTTGAACAGTGCAGTGTGGTTTACAAAATATATATCAATGCACATATGAATATAATTAAACTGCAATACATTAATTTTTTTATCAAATGAACTCAAAGGAATACATAAGCAAAATGTATAATCTGGGAGTATGTCTTGTGATAAAGTTCCTCACAACTCCTTCCAGTGTTATTTAGGCAAAGTGTGCAGTCATTACTGGACTGCAGTGCACATCTAGATGTCTAAACCTATGAGTGGCAAATGGCACCCATTCCCATAATTCTTCAAGCACCCAAGTGTCCACTTACGAGACCTGTACATCTTTCTTCAACCATGACAGCTTAGTTTACATTTATTAAGCATTTATGAGCGCCAAAGCACTACAAGGTTGTCTATAACAAACCAGCGTTGAATGTAATGAAACGCCATTTTCTGGGTGATTCCCGGAGGCTCCCCGGAGCTATCCCAGGCTGATATGCTAATGTCAGACTTTGGCATCAGTCATGTGTATGGAGTTCTTAGGCCTACCGGGGACCACGGCCAGAACCGGGCCCCCTCAGAGAGGCAAGGGGAGCAATGGCCTATAGAAGCCCCCGTGTTAGTGGAAGCATTCTATGTCTGCCATCGACCGGAACAGGCACCCAGAAAGGTAAGCGCCCCAAAACAAACCCCTATTCTGGTTAAAATTGCTACCTAAAACCGAACTAGTGGATAGAACTCCCCAACCGAAAACAAGCAAACTAGTGTGACGTCACACACTGCCGCGCAGCTGTCTGCGCAGCTCCCCCCTCCCCGGGAGGGGGAAGGGGGAGCCTCAGACCCCCCGGGAGGGGGAAGGGGGAGCCCCAGACCCCCCGCGCCGGCTACCCACACCTCAGTTCTTGAGGCTGGATGTCAAAAACGCGAAAAAACCGCCGACCGGAGGGAGGGAGGGATGCCGGGGAGCCTCCGGGACTCACCCAGAAAATGGCGTTTCATTACATTCAACGCTGGTTTTCTGGGGGGAGCCCCGTCGGCTCCCCGGAGCTAACTACCCACAGACAGAAAAAGAGGGACTTACCCGGGAGGCGGTCGTCGCTCACCCCTCAACTCGAAGCCGAGACAACTGGCTGCAACCGCCGATCACAAAACATGATGCACCCCCGGCCAGACCAACCAAGCATCAACCACCCATGGACCCTCCGGAACGCAGCAGTCTCATTCTTCGCCAGAAAAGAAGGAGACGGCTGCAAACGAACAAAACTATCACCACGACCAAAAGAGCAGAAACCCCTGCGCCGGAGGAGAGCATGAAGCTCCCCTACCCGACCCCCAGAGGCCAAAGCCAACAAGAAAAGTGCCTTGGAAAAACAATCCTGGACCGAAGGGGCCACAACGAAACGAGGAGATGAAAGGAAAGCGAGCACTCTGTCCAAAGACCAGGACGGCTCAGGCGACGCATGAGCAGGCCGGAGGTGAAACAATGCACGAGACAGCTTGCGAAACGGCGCAGACGTAACATCGATACCGAAAGCAAGCTGAAGCGGCTCCGCCAGCGCCGCACGATACGAAGCGACAGTGTTAGGCATAAGATGACGGTCCTAAAACAACCACGAGAGGAAGGACAAGACCACCCGAACAGACAAGGAGCTAACACGACGAAGACGCAAAAAGAAACGGAAGGACCGCCAGGAAAACTGCATACTGCCGCCGAGAAGAAGCCCTCAGGTGGGACACCAACAAGGAGGCCACCTGATCACCATAGAGATGATGATAGACTCGAGTCAAAAAAACCATACGCGAAGACTCGAGGAGGAGATCGAACCAGCTACGTGACGTACCGGCCCGATCTGCTGAAAGAGGCGGAGCCGCGGGAAAAACCCTCGGGTTCGGACACCGAGCAACCAGCGCCTGAAACCAAGGCTTGGTGGGCCGGCCACCAAGGGCCAGAAGGACAACTCTCCCCCGGTAAGTCTCTAAGCGAGTCAGGACCTGGAGCAACAGCCGAACCGGGGGAAAGAGATACAGGAACCCCCACCTCGTCCAGTCGAGCCGAAAGGCATCGACCCCGACGGCCTCGCAATCGGGGAAGGGCGCCGCATAAACGGGAAGACGCCGCGACCACGCCGACGCGAAGAGGTCCACCTCGGGGCGCCCGAACGTCTGGCAAAGCCAAAGGAAGGACTCGTCGTCGACTGTCCACTCCGTGGAGAGAGGAACGAAGCGAGACAGGGCGTCGGCCAAGACGTTGGACACGCCCCGTACGTAAACCGCCAGGAGAGCCAAACCCCGAGAACTCAGCAGACGAGTCACCCGAAGCGACCAACCCCAAAGAGACAAGGACCGCATCGAACCCCCGCGGTTCAGGCAATGAACCACCGGAGAGCAGTCCGAATGGAGCCGAATCGTCGATCCGCGGGCCACCCGAATCCTCCCCAGAGCAAACCACACTGCCGCGAACTCCCGCACCGTACTGTGAGCTCGACGGAAGGACGGATCCCAACGCCCCTGGCCGGCCTGGTGAGCACTGGTCACAAAACCCCAGCCGAGACGACGCATCCGTGTACACATCGAGCGAGGGCTCGGGTAGGCGCCAAGGCACTGAACCCCGAAAAACCCGAAGAGGAAACCGGTGACGCAGCAACCGACGCAAGTCCCCCGGGGGTCGAACTCTGCGATCGCGAGAGAGGCGGAAGGGGGAACCCCGAAGGAACCAGAACAGCCGTCGAAGCCAAACCCGACCCGGCGGGTAGACCACCATCGCGAAGTTCAGGCTCCCGCACAGCCCCTCGAGCAACCGCCGGGTGACCCGAGGGCCCTCCAGAAACAGACGAAGGCGGGACCGCAGCCGCAGGAGAGACTCCGGAGGGAGAGACAAGGAGGCGGTTCGAGAGTCCCACACGAGACCCAGCCATGTCCGAACCTGAGAGGGAACCAGATGGGACTTCCTCCAGTTCACCAAGAACCCGAACCCGGCGAGCTGGGAAAGAACCAAATCCCTGGCTAGCAAGCAAGCTGACTGGCTGGGAGCACAAACCAGCCAGTCGTCGAGGTAGGCCAACACTCGAACACCTAGGAGACGCAAACGAGCCACCACAACCCGTGTAAGGCGTGTGAACACGCGAGGTGCCAGGTTCAACCCGAACGGGAGACAACGAAAGCGGTAACTCAGACGCCCCACTACAAAACCGAGCCAGTCCCTGAACCGCGGATGAATCGGGACATGCCAATAAGCGTCCCGGAGGTCCAGGGACACCATCCAAGCTCCCGGCTCCAAGAGGAGCCGAACCTGAGACAGCGTAGTCATCTGAAAGGAGGGGCAATGAACCCAGGGGTTCAGACGGGACAAGTCCAGAATGAACCGCAGGTCCGTGCAGTCCCGTTTCGGAACCGGAAACAGACGGGAAACCCATCTGAGGGACGACGTCGTTTCGACGACGCCCAAGCGTACCCACTCCAAGACGACTCGACAGAGCGCAGGGGAAGAAGCCTGCCCTGCCAGCCCCGACCCCCCAAAGAGGGGAGGGGCCACCCAACGCCACCGCAGGCCGCGAGACACGACCCGAAAGGCCCACGAATCGTGGGACCAGGCGCGGGCGAACAGCGCAAGCCGCCCCCCCATTGCCCTGTCAAAGGGGCAAACCGCGAAAGGGCCGGCGACCCCTACGAGACCCAGAACCCCGCACAGCGCGAACACCGCGCCGACCAGACGAGGGAGGGTCCGCAGGAGGAGCCAACCCCAAACCTGACACCAGAGGCCTACCACGACGAGAGGAACCCCGAGCCCTGGCACGACCTTTCCGGGAAGACCCACCCCGGGACCCCCGGAAAACCAACAAGTCCGACATCGGACGACAAGCCGCCGACGCAGCCTGAATAAACTGCGCCACGGCCGACTCCCCAAACAGGAGAGGACAAAAAGGCGAAGAACGCCTAAGAGCCAGAGCCCAAGCAGATCCCATGGAGGAACCCAGCACCGCCTGCCGACACGCGAGACGGGAAGCACAGAACAGGGAAACCGCATCCCGCAAAATCGGCGTGAACAGCTTCAACAAGGCAGCCGACGAACGCGCAGCCGAGGACAAGGTGCCGGACCCCGGGACGGACCCAAGCGTCCCCACATCCTCCACGAGCCAATCCGAAGACAGCTCCAGGAGGGAAAAGAACCGCAAGGCCGAACACAAAAGGCCCCGAGCGCGCAAGTCCTCCGCCACGAGCGCCGCCGAAAGGGAGGGAACCTGCACATGGAGCTGAATAACGCCCACATCGCGGGGAAGGGCAGGGGCAAACAAGCACTCATTCAGGTACTCAAGTTCACCCCCCAGGAAAACCTGAAGCACCGTGGAAGCTTCCCGCCACTCCAGCGTGCGGGAACGACAGAAGGAATGCCAGGAATCTAGACCAAACAAGGGGCAGTCTGCTAGCCAGGACGACTCCGGAACCTCGTAACGGAGCCAGAAAGGGAACGAAGTCCCAAACCTGAACGTGGACGGATCCATTTCCGAGGCATAATCCGGGTCACGCAGGAGGTAAGCTGCAAAGGCCGCTCGCACCATACCAGGTTGGATGCGATAAGCCGAAAACCTCCGGAAGGACGGAACCGACGTACCCGGGGGAACACGGAACCGTACCCGGGGAGGGGCCTACACCAAATCCAACTCGTACGCAGAGGGGGGGGAAAGAAAACCCCACTCCTTGTAACAATAAGCCCCGCTCAGTGGGAAGAAAAACCCAGGCGGGGTCCAGCGGGGCCCAAGGCCCCCAAGTCAGCCCCTCCCCAGCCTCGAGGTCCGTCACCACAGGACCCGAGGCCGAGTCCTCTCCCCAAGCCCCGACCCCACAAGACAAGGACGGAGCAGCCGGAAAAGCTGGAGGAAGAGGGGCCCACTGGTCAGACCCTGAAGCTTCGGCCGGGAGACAAGACTCGAATGCCTCTGCCGCCCCCCCGGAAGGGGCAACCCCCGAAGCTGCCCGAGTCTCGAGATCAAGTAACCCCTGCTCCGACCCCGAAACCCTCAGACGCTTCGGGGCC